GAAGGTTTTCTTCACAATTTAAGTTACAGATTACCAGTAGATGACAGCAGGTGTTAGCGGATGTTAGGGACATATCTTCAGTTGTGTCCCTAAGCTTTCCAGCCTCAATGCTTTGCCTCAAACGTCATGTCTGCAGTTCGGTCAATTCTACGAAGTAGACGATGGGCAGGGTGTTGGACCAGTGTATCAGGTCAGGTCTAAGGGTGGTAGTGACAATATGTGATGGGACTGTAAGCCGCTGATCCACGTCCACCAACATCTTCCTGTCTCTGATTTTCTCCAACTGACAACTCCTGGTGAGTGGAGGAGAACCTCTCTGTCCCCGTTCAGAGTTTATTTTACAAGCATTGAGGATGTGCCTGAGGGTAGCTGGAGCTGAGCATAGTGGGCAAGATGGATCTTTGTTCAGCCACTGCTGTAGGTTTCTGATGAGGGAAGGGCTTCATAGGTTTCTATAAGCAGGAAGCTAATCCTGCTAGCTTCCATTCCCCACAGGTCCTCCCAGCTTATCTTTTTTTTGATCTATGCTCTCCCATTTCATCCACTGCCTTCGTCTTGCTTGAGCGACAGCCTTCACACATCTTGCTGCCTCCACCTGATGTTAGATTTCCAGGACTACCAATTTTTCGCTTTTCTGAAGGAGTTGCCTTGTTCGTACTCTGACCTAGGCCCAAACCTCCTCTTCCCCGCTGAACGTGGCCCACAATGTCAGTGTGCTGGAGTACTGCTTTTTCCTGTTGTTGTGTGTAGGTACTGAGAAAGAACATGTGAAGTTCATGAAATGAGGGTTAACAATTTGGGATATTGCAAAGAACGTATAATGTAGGTATTTTATACATCGCTAGTACATATTCTACGATTACAGAAAATGTATACTACATAACTTTGGGGTAGGCTGTTTGAATTGTAAAGATTGAGGTGTTTTCAGGGCACCATTGCAAGGGTGTTGAATTCATGCAGTCTAAGTTAAAATGATAAAGTCTGCTGATAGTTTCATTTGATGTGTCCAGGCTGCTACAAGTCTGATTGTAATGGTTTCCTGATTTGGTCATAATTCAATATTTTAAGATTTTATTAAAATAAATATGAAACCACTTTATTACATCTGAGAAATATCATTTCATAATGACGACTGTTTTTTCTACAAATCAGCTACCAGTCGTTTGGAAGTAATATTCCCACGACGTTATAAAAAATCTGTTNTTCACTAGAAAGTTGAGAACTCACGCGATGGGAGGATGTGCACAGTCGGGAAGGTCTATAGGTCGGATACCAACAACTTGTGTAGGCAGCATCAGTAACATGAGGTCGTGTTGGTTGCCGTCGTTGAAGATCTCAGGTGGATGTGTGATTTGAATCKCTGGTCTACTCGGACCAGGATGCACTGCTATMTCTGCGAATATATTCCTACAGGTAAAAGGTTAAACATCAGTGAATCACAGTCAACATGTCATATTTTAATACTGTTGGTTATTAATCATAGTTTTACATCAAAACATTAATGATCAGTGCATCAGGACATTAAAGTGAAAGTTGTTGATTTGTGATTTTCTCACCATCCAGGCWSTAAGCAGTGAGCTGCAGTCAGAATCCACTGGTTACTGATCAGAGAGCCTCCACAWRAGGYCMCATGTGTTGTATTTCTGAATCTCAGGCGGACATGGTACAGACGCTCATMATYTYGACATATAGCACCTCCGATGATTCTCTTCTGCAGATCCACCGCTGTGCTCACTGTCACACCTGAAAGAGAAATAGCTCCAACATTGTGAATTAGAATCGTGGCTTCGAGTGTGAAGACAGAGAACAACACCTTATTACAGTATTTGCTGCAAACACTTAACCTAAACCTCTTTTAGACAAGACGTTAGTCTGACGGCTATTTAACGTGTAAGTCTCACGTCTGAAGAAGCTCTTGGTTTCTTTTACGAAGGCATCAGCAGTCTTACTCGGTCAAATCCAGTCTTTGTCACAAAATTCACCTGCAGCTCCTCGAAGCCAGAGATGTGACGCTCTGCTTGTCTTCAAACAGTTTGTCGTGTGAACCAGAACACAGAGAGAATTGCTGCTTACTTACCAACCCACATGGCAAAGAGAAGAGCTGTAAGACGAGCCATCGCTGTCATTCACTGTCTCAAAGACTGTCCTCCAGATGCAACAGTTGTGTCTTTTTAAATGTGTTCACGCTGTCTCGTCGGCCTCTGCTGGACCAATCACATTGTGAAGATTTACTGGCGAAACCCCATTGGCTAAAGTAATCTGCACATTAATGCTACTTTGTGGATAACCGTTTAGATTAACGTACAGTGTTATCTTTTATACTAATGCTGTACAAATACAGCAGGTACCAGTACTTATTTCAGGATATAGGACTCAATGTCCCTCGTGCTTTGGAAGGTTTTCTTCACAATTTAAGTTACAGATTACCAGTAGATGACAGCAGGTGTTAGCGGATGTTAGGGACATATCTTCAGTTGTGTCCCTAAGCGTTTCAGCCTTTTAATCACAAGACACCCTCTTCTAAAGCAGGTTGATCAGACCTGGGTGCATGTCCCTCGCATCTTGGGGCCCAGTTGGGATCTTTCCGCCATTGGCTGCAGCGTTCTGCAGTGTGGGATGTTTCTTTTATGGTCTGGAGCAGGACTTGTTCATGGATCCCAGATCTTTGAGAAACATGATTGGTTGATGTTGCAAGGAAACCCCTGCAGCCAACCTCCACAGGGCAAACTATTGCTTTCCAGCCTCAATGCTCTGCCTCAAACGTCATGTCTGCAGTTCAGTCAATTCTACGAAGTAGACGATGCGCAGGGTGTTGGACCAGAGAATCAGGTCAGGTCTTAGGGTGGTAGTGACAATATGTGATGGGACTGTAAGCCGCTGGTCCACGTCCACCAACATCTTCCTGTCTCTGATTTTCTCTTTTCTCTTTGGGTTTCTTGTATTTTTTCTAACCCCATGCGTACAGATGCATTTGTAGTGTTAATAGAACATAAGACAATTTAGTTCTTACCAGCTGTTGAGTCATTGCTTTGTGTAACAAATTATGTRGCTTCCTATTTAATCTCTAGTAACTGTGTGTGTCAAATGAAGATAAGACATTGAATGCAAGCTTTTTGTTAAGGTAAGTTGATGAGTTACTTAGTAAAATATCTCGTCTTGCTGTGCTGATAAGTTCAATAGCAAAAGGAAATATTTCACTAAGTATCTGATCTACAACATTGTGTCCTGACCTCGCCTGAAGTTATGATAACACATATCACCTGTATTCATATTTCCATGTATACGTCAGCTTTTGTTCTGTAAATGGTGAGATCACGCTGCTCATCAAGAGTGCACATATTTCTCTCTGTCTCTTTAACACGTGTATAAGATCAAAAACACCATACTTCAACCTCAATCAATCAATAAAATGTATTTATATAGCACGGTATCACAACATCAGTTGTCTCAAGGTGCTGCACAAAAGTCCAAGATCTTAAAAAAGACAAAATCCAACTTGTTCCACAACAAGCAAGCATGAGCCACAGTGGTGAGGAGAAACTCCCAGGTGGAAGAAACCTCTGGCAGAACCAGGCTCGGTGTGGACGGCCTCTGCCAGGACCGGTTGGGGTGAGTGTAGACATTTATTTTTTTTTAAACAGGGGAACAAAAGGAAATAAAGGGGGGTTGGAGTCACAGTCTCAGGTCATGGGCTTGAATCCAGCCCGGGAACCTCCACGTGGACGTTGGCATGGTCTTCCAAGTGCGTGTTGGTCCCCCCGGGCACTCCTGCCTCCCTCATGGTCCAACATGCGCAGTAGGTGGACTCATGGCTACAAAGGTGAGGGGTCCTCAGGTGAGAGTGCTGGTGGTTGCGTGACCCTCCATGTCAGCCCTGCGACAGACCGGCAACCTCCCGGAGGTCCATCCCTCATCAGGACAGGCAAAGAATCCTGTTTTGACAGGATGTGTCTGATTCTCTTTATATTACGCAGATGAAAGAAAGCTGTTCTGGAAGTTTGACTAATATGTTGGTTAAATGACAGATCTTCATCTAAGAGAACTCCTAGGTTCTTCACAGTGGAGTTCGGAACCAGGCGGATGTCATCTAGGTTCACCGACTGGTTAGCCAGAGTTTCTCTGAGATGCCTAGGACCCAGGATTATGACCTCAGTTTTGTCTGTGTTTAACAACAAGAAATTCTGGGTCATCCAGGCCTTGATGTCCTTAAGACAGTTTTGAAATCAAATTAAATGGTTCAGTTCGTCTGGCTTCATAGATAAATATAACTGGGTGACATCTGAATGTTATGTTTTCTCATAATATTGCCTAATGGTAACATGTATAAATTAAAGAGTATTGGACCAAGAACCAAACCTTGTGGAACTCCATGATTAACTTTAGTGTATGATGAGTATTCATCATTAACACTAACAAAGTGGAATCTATTTGATAAATAAGAACTAAACCAGCTTAATGCTGTCCCTCCAATCCCAACCTCTTGCTCTAATCTTTGAAGGAGAATGTTATGGTCAATGGTGTCGAATGCAGCACTGAGATCTGAGATAACATGACCAGCATGGAGACAAGACCCTGGTCAGAGGCTGGGAGAATATCATTTGAAACTTTCAAAAGTGCTGACTTTGTACTATGGTGCATTCTAAATCCAGACTGATAGGCCTCCTGCAGGTCATTTCTCTGGAGGTGATAGTGCAGCTGATTTACAACAGCTCTTTCTAAAAGTTTAGAAGTAAAGGGGAGGTTTGACATAGGTCTGTAATTTGCTAAGATACCTGCATCTAAACTAGGCTTCTTTAGCAGAGGCTTAATTACTGCTAGTTTAAAAGCCTGTGTTACATAGCCAATTAATAAAGAGCTATTGATAAGATTCAACACAGTGCTGCCGACTTCTAAGAAAGCCTCTTTAAAGAGCTGAGTAGGGATGGGGTCCAGCAAGCAGGTTGAAGTTTTAGAGGATGAGACTATTGAAGATAACTGTGAAAGCGTTATTTGGGAGAACTGATCTAACCGTGAGTCTAGGTCTCCACTTTTTTCACAGGTGACAGTTTTTGACTGAGTGTTTGGGGAGTAAAGGTACATTTTCTCTCTGGTCAGCCTGGCTACAGCGCTGAAGAGAAACCTGGGGTTGTTGTTATTGTCCTCTATTAGTCTAGAGTAATATGAGGTTCTGGCACGTTGAAGAGCTTTTTAATACACTTCAAGGCTACTCCTCCAGGAAGTAAAATCAACTTCAGAACTGGCAGAGCGCCACTTCCTCTCTAAAATCCGTGTTGCCTGTTTTAGGGTCCGAGTTTCAGAGGTAAACCACGGGGTGATCCTCCTCTGATGACTTAACTTCTTTTTCAGAGTAGCAATACTATCAAGGACAGTTTGAAGTCCCGAGGTTGTACTATCCACTAAGTTATCGAGTTCTGCTGCAGCGAGGTGGGCAGCCTTTTCAAACCAGATTATCCTTGACTTGATGATTGCGGGGCTGACAGCTCCAGTTAGGATCAATAGAGATGCTT